GTTTGTCTTGAAGCAAGGGATGCAAACCTCCTTGGCTAAGGAGTATGTGCAAATGCTTTTTAAAAGCTTTATCAGTAAAATTTATTAAAGAGGTACACAACCCAGCTTCAAAGCCTCAAGGATGCAGTTTAAAGCCTTCAGTTGTCACTAACGCTAGCCCCGTCACCTAAAGGCTTATCTCCAGGGAATTTTTTTACCTAACTGTGCCCAGGAGCCCTTGGCTAAGGAAAGCCATTGGTGATTTAAGTGCAAATCATGGTAAAACATTTTTATGTTTTTGTCAGCTGCTCACGGTTTATGTCTTGGTCTTGGCTGAGTCTAATTTAATTGTTACCAGTTGACTCAAGTCATTAAGAGCCAAATCATTGAGCCTGAGAGCTGTGCAAACATAATAACACCTATCTGGAGGGACAAATATTTTGACTGAACCATTAGGCAGTCAATGTAAGTAAGATTGCCTTTCAACCTTATCCTTCTCCCAGCTTCACTTCTTCAGCATAATTATTTCCAAACCAAAACCAAGTGTATGAGAAACCATAAACCGAAGTCAGAATTAAAGCTAATACACATTTCTGAGTCATGACAGTGTAAACAAGTGTGAATCTAGGCATGACTACTGCATTCACTTCTACAGAAGTGACTGCCTCTGCAAAAGCCACAGGGAACCTCCTTGGTTGGAGCACAACTCTGATTCTGGGCATTTTGTAAGAAAGAATTTCCACCGAACTTTCCAGGAAACTGCCCTCCAAAAATATTTCTCAGTCTTTCGACAAAAACTAGCAGTTCTATTAACCTTAAACAACAGATTGTTTTTAATATTGCTAATGTCCTTTTGGCTTCCCAGGAATTGTTTCTGTTGTTTTTGTTACTCTTTTTTGTACAGAGAGCCTTGCAAATGTAATTTGCTAGTTTCTTGTTGAGAGAAGCACAAGTTGTTGCACATACAGCACAAAGGCTTAAAGGGCCCACAGCTTTAAGCCAAAGCTCCTAGACCTAAAAGTTCAGTATTAGATACATGACTGTGCAATTTAAAATGTGCTGTGGTCTCTGCAATATGCTTAACTTCAAAACAATCTGATTTTTAAAACAGCTTGTATTTAGTCGCTTCAGTCACACCAGAGGTTTAGCCTGCGTTGGGCTCAGTCAACAGGTACATGATGGTGTCTGGGGCATACAAGAACAGAGATTCTTCCCTGGGATCAAACTAATTTTGCCTCTCTTCTGATCAGTGCCAAATGTTTCGTTGGATAATTGTAGATAAAACAAAATGTGCCCTTGAATTACATTTCTTCTGGAGCTCTTACATGTAATTCTGATTTAAATCTTGAAGCAGAGGTTGAGAGGTTTTAAACTGTTATATAGTTACACTGTGAGCAGGTACAACTATTTGAGCTTGTATTATTAAGCATGTAAGCAACTCCTTTGGAAACCTGCCCAGTTTTTGGACCTCAATGGCTTTCTGAAGGAATGAAGTCCATGAGTTAATAAAACATTGTCTGAGAAGCTATCTTCTGTAATGAGTGTTTCCCACCTAAAACTTCACTGATGTCATCTTCTTTTTATGAGTTCCTCTAATCTACCTCATTTCTGCTTTGCAATATTTTGTATTCTGCTATCACTCTTTTCAAATCTCTTCTGCAATTAATTTTTCCCTTGTCCTTTCTCCAATTTTCAAAATCCCTTGGCTTTTCTTTCTTTTAATACTTTCTATACCATAATTTTCCAGATGAATTGACCCCTTCTACACACAGGGCTGCAGATAAGGCAAGACCATTTATTCATACAAATACAGAATTTTAAAAGCCATCCACCTTAACATTTGTTATGGATTGTTCCTGGAAATGTTTAAAAGAATATTTTTAAACAGCTTGTCAGAGCTTTTTTCTTTTAAAATTTTATATTCTTTGAAAGAATTTGGGCTTTTTGTTTTTGAAGACTTATGTATTCTTTTTAAATTAATAATCCAGAACAGTTATGTTCACTTTTGCTCAGTAAAGCCATAGATATTTAGCAAGACTTTTTATTACCTTTTGCTAACTTCCATTGCATAATCACAATTAAAATATAAAAAAAAAATCTATTTATCTGAAAATATTTTTTAATTAAAATGTTTCTGATCAAGTTCATTAAATCATTATAATTTTTCCATTCATGAGTGAATAATCAGGCACACACTTTTAAACAGGGTCATTTTAAAAGTTTCCTTTTCCAACAGTAAGTCCACTTACCAAAACTTTCAGTACAATGAACAAATACACATTTTTCCCCTACAAAGCCGTAGGATTGCACAAAAAATACAGAATAAATATAAACATTAGGCCAAGGCAATATTTTAAGGTGCAGAACTCCACTTGCCACACATGAATAATTCAAATAATGCTGCATAATGCATAGGCAATTCTTACTAGTATTTCAAAACCTGAAGTGACACAATGAGATCAACATATAACAGTAATTCAAATACATTCTATTTATAATAAATAAGAGCTTATCTGACCGTAGAACAGAATAAGCATATTGTCCCAACAAGCAAGCTCTTCACAAATATCCTTTTTTTCATTTGTCTGAATGGTGTGCTACCACTGAACATAAAGACAAATTAAGAAACAAAGATCTCATCCACCATCTGGTAAGAGAACTCATGGGGAGAGACATCTGGAATTTGTTGATGGTATATTTTTCCAGAGGTTTCATCTTAAATCAGTCAATTTATACTGTCATATATCTGTCAATTTATACAAATTGAAAATTATCCCTTAAATATATTCATAAATATGTAAATATATATTTATAAATATATGAATATAAATATATTCATATTTATATCCCCTTAGTGTTCAGTTGTCTTGGTTTAACTTTTTTCTTTTTTTCTTTTTTTCCCTTTTTTTTTGCTTTTTGGGGTGTGAGGAAAATGGAGGAAAGGGGAAGAGAGTTGCTTCACTTTGTATTCAGCTACTAAGTTCTGTGACAGCAAGGATGGAGGGAGAACATTCGAAGTCCTAGTCTCCATTAGCATTTTGCTTTGAGACAATAATGCTGTTCTGAAGTGAATTCTCAATCATTGTCCCTTACTGAACCTTGGTTCAGTTTGCAGGGTGGTTTTCGTACACAAGAATTGAGCTTATTTTGGAGGAAACTATGGTGGAGGCTCAGCTGCCTTTCAAATACACTCCAGTCTCTAAAATAGAGACTAAGAATCTGAACCCATTATTTGGCCTGCTTCAAACTGCATATACAGTTGGGGCATTTATCCAAGGAAATATAATATATGTAGTCTTGAGCTGCATATAGTGTACATGTACAAGCCTCAGTAGTAACTGCTGATCCTCCCTGACTGTAATAAATATCTTGGCAATGTACACACAGGCAGAGACTCCCAAGGACCAAAACTTCTCAGTGGGATCCTCAGTGACTTTCCCAAAATTACTTCAGAGAAGTTTGACTACTACATGCTTCTCTGTATGACCTAAAACCTTAAAATTTCTGTGTATAAGCCATTTTCCACTGAACAAGCGTTTGGGGCTGCCTCAGATGACTTCACTTAATTGTTTTTTTTGGCATACGTTATTTCACCATTCAATTCTAATTAAGATGTTGCTGTCAAAAGAGCCTCACAATTTACTTGTTACCTGAAGCCATCACTGGCTTTCTCAAATATCAAAGTCAGAATTCTTTTCTTTACCCCCAAGCACCTCAGCATAATCTTGGTCCTCCTTGTCTTGGGCATTGCAGGGCGGTGTGGGCAGTCCATGGCACTACCTGCAGGCAGAGCTCCTCTTTCAGATGAGATTCTTAAAAAGTTAATTTTCCACTTCTAAGTATGGGTAAAGTCTGGATACTAGACACTAGTAAAGCTATAGGTAGCTATATAAAGGTAGGCTGAATTCCTATCTTGTTCCTGAATTTAACAAATATCAAACTGCTCATGACACAGTGAATAGTCAGATACAAAGCTCATTGGAGCAGTCATCCTAGAGAGTCCCTTTGTAACTGGGCCAGCAGTGTAGTCTTGAACTTGTCAAAATTGTTCTGTATTCCCAGTTTGCAAACAAGCAACCTCTCCACACCCACGTATTTTAAGAAGAAATCCTGAATCTCTTTCTTAACAACACCACAAAATAATGGAAAAACAATTAAGTCAGAGACAGTTAAGACTACCACTAAAATAAAAGCATTGATTTAATTCATAGCTCTGGAGGCATAGTAGTAGAGCACTAGCATACATTGTATACAAGGCTGTGTGATCTTTCTTCACAACAGAAAATATTCTTGCAGAAAAGCCAAAGCTGGAAACCATGTAACTGCCTAAAAATAGTTCCAAACAGTAACTGGGAGGATTAAAACATGTGTCTCACAGATCTTTGGTTTTGGAAAGTGAAATCTGGTCAATTAAATTCATGTCAAAATTCATGAGAAAAAGTGCTCCCTGAATCAGGAAACCAAGTTAAAAAGCTGAAGACTGCATTTGCCAAATGACTGTGCTACTGTGTAGGTGATTGGGACACATGAAAAACAAAACGGTTGAGAAAACACCCTGATGGAATGTGGAAATCTGGGTAGGAAGGCTGTACCTCGGCCAAGCAGCAGCTCAATGCAGCACCCTGGGAAAACACCTGAGTGAACTCTCGGTGAGCCATGTGGCTGCAGGACTGCAGGACTGTTCCCTGCTGTTTAGTAGGGCTCCTCAGCTTCAGCAAAAAAAACACACTGGGCAGACTGTACTGCTTTAAGTGCCCAAATTAGCTGTTACACTTCCCTTTGATGCTATGCTGTCTCATGTAGATATAATCATAACGATACATAAGCTCTGAAAATGCTTTTAAAATCAGAACATTATGAGTGATGTTGGGCCAAGCACTCTCTCTGAAGTAGACATGAAGTGAAGCTTTGGTGCAGTGACCTCCCTTGTTTTGTGAACAGAGGGAAGTCCTATATCCCCAGGCAGTGAGATAAAAGTGCAAAACAAACTTTAGTGAAATCAACGAAGTTTGAAGCAGGCCTTAAAACCATATTCAACCCATATTTATAGTATCTAGACACAATACTGTCTCTAATGACACTGAAATTAAAGCTTAGATCCTTTGTGTTGCAAAAAACATAACAGAGAAACAAGAAGCAATTCCCTCCTCAAAAAAATCTTATTTAAAAAAAAAAGGGTCTGATAAAAAGTATGGAAATATGTTTTTTCAGGAAATTAAGTCACACAGATTTCTAAAACCAAAAGGGTGTATTTTATACCCAGAATTGTACAGAGCTGGAAGTATGACTGCCATGTTGAAAGACACAAAGAGCACAACAGAGCCGAGCTGCTATTTCCAGTGACAATCTTCACCTCAAGTCAAAGGTGGTAATGGCCAGAAAGAGCCCATTTCTCTTGGATATTTTTTAAATGCACTCACTTCCCTTACAGAAAGGAGAAGGGGCATCATATCATCCTGTCTGAACAGCCAGGAGGAAATGAGCTTGGGAAGATTTTGCAGGAGGTTGAACTAGATGGAGCGCTCCCTCTAGTCCAGAACACTCTCTTAATTTGTTGACCATTGTGTAGCCTGCAGAGATATCTTAATCCCTGCTCCTAATTTAACAGAAGTTTGATTCAGCTGTCGCTCACGTGAAGGTAATTCAATGAAGTGTCTGACTACAAATGGCAATTCTAAACTCTATGATAAGGACCCTGATTTATTTATAAACACACACTTCTTACTTAATTCCTCTTAAAAAATAATGTTTTAAATTAAATAATTACTTTTTTCTTTTTTTTTTTTTTAAATAGTTCCTAAGAAGAACTGGAAACTGTTCTAAATTCCCCAATTTTTTTCCATACCTGGTGATAATACTATGGAAATTGCCTTCTTTCATGATATTCATTAGCTGCAAAATCTATTTACTAGAAGTGTTTTTATTTTAATTTATATGCATTATAGTCAACGAGTATCTCATTGTACCATATAATGCTTCATATACTATTTTTAAACAGAACAGCAGGTGTCCTCTTTAATTAAGGTATTTATCAAATCCCCTATCAACGCAAAAATGCTATTTTTGCAGTGAAATTTAAATAGAACTCTAGAACTATGACAATTTTGGTAAAGTAACTCTTGAAAGGTCTAACAAAATCTTTAACCTTTGCAAATTTTATAACATAACATTAAACAAAAATGAGGTGTCATTCCTGATGATCAGGCACTGTGTTTAATCAATCTTTTCCAAATCAGATGAAGAATGATCAGCAGAGTATTTTGCAAATGGCAAATGGATTTATACGGAGCTTGAGAATGGAACCACTTGCTTTCCAGCCACATACACTTCGGAAATATTCCGATCATCACCTGAAATAACATAGTCAAAATAGAGATTTGCACATAAATATATGCACTGATATAATTAATGAGAATTACGCAGTCCACTAAATCAGTTTTGGAATACATAATTTGCAATGACCTTCTCCTAGGACTGAGAAAGTTCATTTGGAGAGAAACAGACAGAGCTACCACAAAGACCAAAAAATGTTTAAACTATCCATGCTTTTTTTAAGAAAGAAACATAGCATTCAGCTGTTGAAATGGTGTAATGGATTTTATGTATATTCATTAGATTCAAACCATGAAAATATCATATATCTGTACAGAAAATGCATCGTTGCACAGTATTTGAACTGGCTCAGCAGCAAAGATGATTTGCCCCAGCTTCTCAAAAAGGCAAAAATCTAGTTAGAGGGTGACACAACTGTGGCCAGAGCTAATATCAGTTACCTCAACATAACAACACAGCAGCAGTGCAGCTCTGGTCCAGACAGTGCCCTGTAAAGAGTACCTGCTCCCTTAGGGGTGGGATTGTTTGGATTGGGTTTTTTTTTGTTTTAAAGGCCATCATTTCTGTTTGAAAGTAAAAAACCCACAATGACAACTTGTCTACAGCAGTTCTTCTGAACTGAACTGGTCCTGAACTAGTGACTAGCATGTCATTGTTACTTTATTGAGAAATACAATTTAGCTCGTGCTATAGATAAAGATAAATGTGGTGCAACTGATCATATGAAACTGACTATTTAACTATGTCTCAAAGATCAAAAGTTAAACCACTCAATTCTTACTCAGTATTTTAAAATGTATATTAATAAATACAAGTCAATTTTTATTTATTAACGTAAAACATTAACAGCAATTATCAGGGACATGTTAATGTTTACGTAAGAGTTGAATAAATATACTTGGTTACTGTAAACAATTGTATATTTAATTATGTATAAATTTATTATTAATCTCTACATTAATTTAGACAATGTTTGATGTAGGAAATGAGAATTTTATGTGGATTGAAAATCAGATCATACCTAGATACAGGAACTTCTGGAGAATGTCCTACAAAAAAATGGGAGAAAACCAAATTCAGAAAGCAGTATCTGCTGTCCCAGATAATAATTATTCAAAGCTTGAAAGAACTGATAAAAATTGTTTTCCAAAATATTCTTAATAATAGTGAAATCAAAACTTAACATGCACGTTTTCTCATAATTAACTTTCAGAGGAAGAAAACACTGCACAAGTTTTATGGCATAAACAATTATGTGCCCTTTCCCTTATTCAGAGTTCTCAAATTCACTTACTCATTGAACAATAAGACAATACCTAAACATTTTTAGGGTCCTAAGAACTGCTAACTTAGCTAAAAACATTTAGACTTAAACAGAAAAATAATTCTTTTACAGAGTTGGAATTGTTTCCAGACAGTCCGGCCACATCAATAAATTCAAGTAACTGCTGTTAACTCTCTTTCTTAGTCAGAGAAGGTTTTTATATGAGAAGGTGTGTCCATTGCATGAGGTCAAAACTGCTTTAACATAAAAACTGCGCTTTTAACTCAATGTAGCTGTGTTGGGTTCTTGCTTAGTTTTATAACAGCAGTGCAGTAAAGGCAGTCTAACCTTTCTCTGGGAACAGGTTGCCATTCTTCAGTTTGAACTCGAAGTGTTGACTAAAACTCAATTGCTTTTCCTTGGCTGCCATTTGTCAGTGCAAATAGCTAACTCTAATTGTCATCTTGGGCTAATAAAACATGCATTAAAGGTCTTACATACATTTTTGCTCTTGGGGTTATGGGACTGTCACTGAGGACAGCAAGATTCTGAAGAAAAACAGACACTGAACCTCTAAGGCTGAAGCACAGACAGCAGTGGTACAGTACATCTGATTCCTGTCACCAGAATAACTCTCAAGAGACTTATTCTGTCTGTATCATGGACCTTCCCCACAACATTTCCATTAAATTTTTTTATCATTAATCCTGTTCTGATTACCTCAAAATTATCAGCAGAGAACAAGTCAAAAGGGCTATCTGAAGCCTTCGTGTTGATTAGCAGAGCATCAAATTCTTTGCCCACCTCGAAGTTTCCAATCACATCATCTAGTCCTAGAGCTGAGGAAGAAAATAAGCTCACAAACACATCTTCAGCACCAGCCTCTTTCCACCATGTAGAAGCACCTGGTAACTTACTTGAGATATGAATATCTCAAACAAGAATTGAGATGATTTTGAGGAAAAACACAAAAGCAAATTCAACAGTGAGTATGTCAGCATCTGAATTCTTAAGAAACCTAAGAACTTAAGAAACAATTTGTTACATTGCAAAAACATTAAAACTCCAAAAGAGGCAATGAAATTAAGTCAGAGAAATAGTAAAGCAGCATTAGATTTAATTTTTTATCAAGTTTAAGCAACTTTGACAGGTTGACTAGACCTATTAGAGTAGTAACATATGATAATAAAAGAGGTATACAGTGAGGATAACTAATTGTAATTAGCAGGAACAAAGAACAATGTGGTGTGGAAAAAAATCATAGCCAGATCTGAAGGTCTCATAACCACCTGTAAGGCTTGTCTTGTAGTCTATTATTTAGCTTTGTTTTTTCAAAGCTTTCTTACAACCTCTGGTTCTCAAGTCCTCATACACTGAAAACCTCATCTTCACGGATGCTTGAAAGTGCTTAAAATACCTAGAGAGAGGCCTTTGTGTCTCTTTCAAACAAACTAGGATAGTTTTAAGTTGTAGAAAGTACCAGTGAATTAAATCAACTTTTCCAATACTCCAAAACTAAGTTATCAAAGAGGATAATATCGGCAAATCACTTGTTCACTTGTTTTCAGATTGCTGTGATAAAGGAACTTCAGCCTTCAATGAAGTTTGTGTGGCAGGAATATCACAATACCTTAAAGATGTTTAAACTCCTACAAGTGGTGAAATATTTTGACTACCTACTAGTTTCAACTAAAATGATCTCACATTTCTTCAGATTTTTGAGCATAATGCAATTTTTAGATTAAACACAAGAGGGGGACAAGTGTTCAGGACTCTTAATAAAGCAAATCATTCCAACGAAGAATCACTCATTTAAATTTCTGCTACCGGAATTTCTACTTCCAGTGTCCAGCTAGTGGAAGGTCGTACAAGTAATTTATATTCTACCCTTGAATATGATTCAGTAAGGATAAAACAGCTCAAAATCAATATATAAAATCAGTACTTTACTAAGTAAACCTAAGAAAGAAAAAACACAAGAGTAGCTGGGAAGGGAAATCATGTATGAGTTTGGGATTTTTAGAAGTTTTCCTTTCTGTGTCTCAGCTGAATTATTCTCACACTTTATGGAACAATACATATTGGGGGAAAAAATCCTTTTTTTTCCCCTGCCCATCTTCTCTCTTTTCTATTTCCATTACACCCTCCAGGAATTCAAATATATTCCTTAGAAGACCTGTTTGATGACATTTTCACTACATCTTTCAAACTGCCAATAATAGTTCTCAATCGCGCTTTCTGACATCTACAAAAATGTTACACTGAAAGACCAGTTCTTTAGCAGGTAGAGACTTCATTTCTGCTAACTGAAATACTAATAAGTTTTTACTTACATGTCGATTTGGTCTTTGCTAAATCATACCAGTTCCACTAACATTTTAAAACTGTATATATTAGTAGGTGCACGCTGATCATGACAAAACTTGCCAGTGAACCAGGATAACCCATATACTATATGACTATTCTGCAAATACAACTGTGTTGTAAACAACCATGGTGAGTATCGTTTAAATTTTGTGCTTTTCTCTAAGTGAGGAGTGTCACATGATGTTTTGATTTGAGACAAACTGCCTCACTGATAGCTCAAAAAGCTGAAACAAAATTAGAAACTGATGACAAACAGGATACATGATCCTACAGTAATTGCACAGTTTTTCCTCTATATGATGGTTGCTGAGAAAAAAAATTTCCAGTTGGTGAGATAAACATACAAGTACTTACGACCTTATGACTAAGAAGTCTGAGGATCTTTGCAAAGCAAATGTACAACCCTGAAAAGCCATTAAGATTGCATTATTAAACTCCCCACATCAATGTGAGTACTCTTCTGTAATAAGTGTAGTATGAGTATGAGAGACTGAAGGATATCTCTGCCCACCAGGTACCACTTTAAACTTCACTCCAGCACCAGGAAATCTGTGAATCTCCCATGAAGACAGGGAGACATAATATGAAAAGCAGTTGTAGCACTCTGTGTACCCACCAAAGAATTTTCTTCTTACCTCGGCTTCCTCCCAGAGTGGCAAGTTGAAAAGCTTCTTCAAGAGTTAGTCCTGTTTCATTGACTTTATTGATCTGAAGGCTATTAGATGCCATCATTGTTTTCCTGATAGCATCAAGCATAGAAGCTGAATATCCACCAGCAACATCTAGAAGGGATCAGACTCTTAGAAACAAGCTTTGGGCATAATTCTCTATGTTAAATTTCTACTGAAAGTTACAAAGAGACAGATGTGGTAAACACAGCAAGTTTTAGCACTAAGCACTGCTTCTGAATACATAATTCCCAATAGAGGTGTTCTCACACACAATCAGGTGAAGAGAACACAACAAAAAATCAGAAACCTGGGAAATTGTTGTTCAAGCCCTGTTTACCCACAAAACAGGAATAAAACTCTTTGTTAATTTTTTTTTCTTTTGAAACACTTCTAGACCAGCCCTAGATTTCAATACTCTACACTTCCTTACTCTAGAATTAGTGGGGGAAATAAAAGCAGGACCACAAGTTGGAGACAGGCTGACTTCTAAATATGAAGGGGTGGGCATGTTTTTGTATCTCCCAATGGTTTCCAAAAGAAATCATTTTTACAGCAAACTACTAACCTGTGCCAAGACCAAGCTTCACATTGTGTTCCAGGACCTTTCGCACATTTAAGACACCACTGCGCAACCTGGATTTTAAGAAGAAATATGTTCAAGAAGAGCAGGGCCGCAGAGCCATTTTATGACAAAGGCTCTCAGAATGTGTGCAATAGGATTGATTTATAATTTATTCTGGCTGGATACTGCTATTTCTGCCTAATAGTCCAGTTCCCAAAACATAAGAATAGTTTTGGGGGAAGGGAGATGGCCTGAATCTGCCATTGATAGAACAGTCAAAAATATTTTTTTTCCAAATAAATATTCATATAGATATAAATATAGATATAGGTATAGTGACTAGACTGAAAGATCACAAGTCAGGCCAGAGCACACTACACAGAAGTGGATCATAATGGTCATGTTCAGTCCAATATGTCATTTATGGTGGAGTGAGATATCACATTAATAGCATTTCAGTGGTAGTGTGGACTCAGAGTACTACATGAACAACAGTTTTATTTAATTACACACCATTCTTTTTTAATTTTTTTTTTTTTACTTACGAAAAGTTAGAATTGGGGCAATGTGAAATTGCAGCTCCACGAAGACTAAAAAGTTTCATCTCTTCTTCAGAAAGATAACAGGCATGAGCCATCACTGTCTAAAGAAAAAGAAAATCACCAATTTACTCAATATTGCATTTACTTAAGTGGCTGTGTGTTTCGCTGCACTGCTTTCAATAGCCAACATGACATGTTACCATCAAGTGAAATTAATGTATTTCTTGAATGAAGCTCTTAAAATTCACAAGTGTAAATTGGTATTTACCTTCAATATGCCTGAGATATTCCCTCAGCTTTTTTTCATTTATTAATGTAAGAAGATAGGGTGCTGACTGTTGCAGTGATTCCTGTGACCTAAGAGCTTCAAGGAGCAAAAGCAAGAATTCCCCAGTTGTCCTAGCACTGTAGTAACCTTGTGTTTTATATTTTGTAGCTAACACAGAGATTAAGTAGGGGTTATCAGACACAATGGAAGAGGTATGTACTCTTAGCATGTTTCTCACTGGCCCTCTAAAGGTTTGCACCAGGTGGAGATATATAGATATATACAGATATATAGATATATATACACATATATGAAATATTCTTTAAGTAAAATAATCAAATTTGTTGTGCAGCTTTTAATTCTTAGCCTACATAGCTGACTTTAAAAATAAGTTCACTAGCAGCATATACAAAACATAGTATAGGATAGTATAATTTAATAGTACATAAACCAATTATTCCCAGACAAATCTAATTGGCATTACCTCATATACCAAATGCCCGCTGAAAGAGAAGAGCAAGAGCTCTGTCATATCTTGCAATCTGCTGATAAAAATGAGAATGGCACAGAGGCTGTTTCCACTCAGTATCTCCTAATAGCACTGTACCCTTGCCACCTCTACTCATCAAGCTCAGTGCAGCTGAAAATGCAAGGACAGCCACATCTTCAGTTGAGGACATACATATGGTTGTTGCTGAAGCATCTGTGTGGATCTGTACTGTTTTTTAAAAAGAAGGAAATATTTCGGCAACAGCTTCAAAAAAACCCATGTTTTTAAAACACTTTAAAAATTGATTTGATGTCTTAGTTTTGGTGGCTGGACAGCAGAGAATGTCTGAGGTTCCGTTATGCTTGTGTTTAATAGAATGCTTTTCCAAACAACCAGAAGCCTGACTCCAGAAAGCACCAGTAACCATGATTTTTAGTTACCGTTTTCACTTCTGTGCATATAGAAGTCTGACAGAATTAAGAACCATGTTTTTGCAGCACTAATATTCACTTTAGTACACTCACTGACACATCAAATCAGCACGCATAGGACTGTGCTAGAAAACAAAGCTTAATTCTTGTACATACTTCAGTAGTCCATATTAATTTCTCAAGTAAAAAAGGACAGTAAACAAGTAATTTATTGGGATACAGTTTCAAACACAAAAATAGCAGTTAAATAGCTAATTCCTGGGGAGTTTCCAGCTGCCCTTTGTGCCTCTGGAAATTCTCTCCTAAACTTTTAAGTCAATTGACTGATATTTATGCATTCTGACTGTAGTTGAGCTGTTCATATTCACTTTTACATGGGCTCTACACTATCTAATAAGGTGTGTCCTGGGACTCCAACCTGTAATTACTGTGGGTTGGTATCAGATCTGGTTACATTTATCTCACCAGCATAAAGCTTTAATGAATTTCAACTCTTCAGACCACTGTGCCTTTCAATGCTGGGCAAAGTCAGGTAATGAGATGAGAATGCTTTTGGATAATCAAACTGTAATGTGTACTTGTCTGCATGTGAGGTTGAGACTCAGAACACAACAGGGTAGGATGCTTTCCCTCAGGAAATTGACAAAAAGTGAAGTCAGTCCTACCATAACACCATAGAAGAAATCTTCAGGCAAACCAATGTGCAAAGACATTGTAATATAAGGATAAGTGAGTACTGTCCAAGAATTACCAGCTCCTACAATACCAGCTCCTTCTAATCCCACTGCCCTAATTCTCTTTGGAGCCCTTGGAAAATGGATCAGGGACCATAAAACATGTTTATTGTTCATCTCCCCTAAAATGCTTAGAAAAACTGTGGGCTTGTCTAAAGTTACAACACCTCAACAGAGAACATAAAACGAATCCATACTTTACTGCATTTACTTGAGAAGTTTATACTGTTTTATCAAGGTCAGAGACATTTGGGGTAAACCATCATTTTCTCTATATGGATTAATCTTAGCTATGTTGTGGAAGTTTTTATGCAGCTACCTTGCTGGTTAGCAGCTTGTTTTTATCATACAAATCAGTGTAATTCTTGTAGGTAGGAAACATGTTCTCCACAAGTTTGACTTCTTCTTCATTCTCACTTATGTGACTCTGAAATAAGAGAATACACAGCAGTGAAAGCTTTAAAGAGCATTGAACCTCACACTACAACCTTCTGAGCAATCTACTGGTGCTAAACATACGATGATAGAAACTAGTATCTGTAAAACTACAGTTAGATCTAGTCCTTAGGTTTCTCTTTTCATCAAAGAGATCCCTGGGACCCAAAGGAGTAGCTCCATTTGTTCCTTTAAAAGTGATATGAGGTGTTATGCATGTCCATCTCAGTAGTGTAGTGACATAATGGCCAATTTAGGGTTTGGAAAATGTCAAAATAATAGATAAAACATGATATGACTGTGAGGTAAAAGAGAGAGCCAGCCTACAACAGAATGGACCCTGAGATCAGGGTCGCTGATAGGCAGCTCCTCCATGTATCTGCAAATGGGCTGATTGATTACTGGCCTCAAATAAAAATCTGACCTTTCCATACTCCCATTGGGGCATATATTTTCAAAATGTCCACTTTGTAATTAAAAAAAATCAACATGTAGCATAGCTTTAAAACAGTAGAACTGTGTAACAAAAAAAAAAAAATTCATTTCAACACACCTTCAAGCTTTAAAATATCTCTTTTTTAAACACAGAAACTTTATCAACTAGTAATCCTACAGCTATATTAAAAATGTTATGTAAGATACAAAGATAAGTAATACTTTTATCTACTGAAATCTGTTCTGCAGAGAAACAATGGAAGGCAGGGGGACAGACTTGACTAGAGAAAGCAACCTTCAGCAATCCAAGGGTTGCTCTACCCTTTGGTACAGGGTGCCAGTCTCCTTGTGTGACCATGCACCAGGACTTGCTGAATTGTGCATCCTCCCAGCTATGAGCCTTCTTAATTCCTGTACAAGTTACAGTGTTCTTACAGAGTACCATTTGTAATTTCAGAGGAATTAAAAAGAGACTCCAAAGTGGAGAGGCTTAAGTGTTTTCCTGCAATCATGAAAACTCCCTGGTCAGTATGCTGTCTGTCCAAACTATTGAAATTGTATACAGAGCTCTCAGAGCTTACCTGCACATGGAGATCGCGAGCCTGTGCTAAATCTCCAAGTGCACACAGCAAGTCCTCTGTGCAGGAAGGGCCAAAGCGGGGGGTTATTACAGGTTGTACTCTCGGATACTGAAAATATTAAAAAGACAGGCTTTGTAGTCTACACACACACGTGCATGCACGCACGCATATATATATATATATACACACATATATATCTATCTATATATGTTAGTAACCACCATTAAGACTAGCATTTACATGGCAATTACATTTTGTCTTCATTGCTTATTGCATACTGCATCCTTATCAACTCAAATTAAGCTGTATAGTTATTTTCTTACTTTTATTAGACATTTCATCACTGAAACAGAGAATCGAAGTGTGTGTGTAAGGGGGGGTGTTTAAAACAATTTTAATGAACTTTATTAAAGAATTTATTTTAATTAGAAGTCTCTCATTGAGTCACTGAGATTCTACCAGTCTTCAGGAGCACTGGATACTTTTTCATCGTTGCTGACAGTCCTATATGCATTACCAGAAATAAGTCAGATGAATGACCAGACATTTTTCTGAGTTCCCCTTCTGTGACAATCAAAGATGTAATGATGCAAAACTGTAGGTTTCTGTAAAACCAAGGCCATTTTCTTGTTTAATCTTTTCTACTCATAATAGCAACAAACTATTCCCATACTACCTAGATAGGAAGAATAGTGGTAGAATCAGATATGCTACACAGCAGGAACAGGGGAGGAAACACCAACAGTAGAGATACAGAGGTTTACACCTTGCACATCTAGATGAAAATTTTCATAAAAAATAGACAACAGCATTACAATTCTGCCTTCAGTCGCAGGAGAGAGTTGTGCAGAAGTCAGCATATGATATTTTGGATTGCAGTTTCCTGTATCATCTCCCACATACCAGACGCTCAGGACTTTGCAGATTAGCCAACTTTGCTAATAGATATCATTTAGGCATCAAACTCAAGGCATCTGCCCTTGAATATTTTGAGATACAATGTCAAAAAAGCCACTGAAAACTAAAGGCTGATAGGAAAATACCTCTGCTTGTAATATTGAAGTGTAAACAACTATGTTTACCTCAGGAGTATAAACCTGAATTTCTTTAGAAACACAGTGTAAGATATGTGTTGACCAAAAATACTAATTTTATAATGGATTACTAACTGTACTGAAAAAACACTGATTTCTGCTGAAGAGAATTTCTTTAATTAGTCTACTTATATACAGCAGAGGATCAACTGAATTCCCCCTTTCTTTAACAGAAAATTATGCTTTCCAGGAAGCCAGAAATTTTAAAGTCAATAGAGAAACACACAGAACATTACTCTGCTTTGCTCTGACCACAGAAAACTCATTTTACACTGTTACAAGTCCATTTTTCAACAACATGGCTAGCAGAACATTTTTCAGACTGATGGCATCTCTCGTACAAAGAAAGAGGTTTATTTCTCTCATACAAAGAAAGAGGTTTATTTTATTGATTTTTCATTAAGACAGCTTTGGACAGCATGGTTAATGATTTCATATATTCACAAAATATCTTCTAAATACAGAAGTGGATGCAAAGGAGAACTCTACTTACCTTCTTTTCCAGCAGTTCTTTAACAAACCTGAAAAAAGGTAAAAATAAAGTTACTACAAATCTGTGATCTATGTCATAAATTATGAAAAATATAGAAAATATATACTTGGATACCCTGTTAAACACTCCAGATATAGATCAATTTTTCACAAAAAGCCGAACCAGATTTTCAGATGAAATAAAAACAGGCAACACGATACAGTCAGAATAGTCACACCAAATTATGCTAGTTTTGAATTTGACCCCAAATATGCCGATTATTTTTTTTCATTTGCAATAATTACTATTAGACAAGTGGCAATTATTCTGAGTTCTCCCTGAAAACCAAATACATGCTACATTAAATGAATTGAAAGCATAATTATAAGGTACAGATGCAACATTAGAGAAAGAAAAAACAAACCATCTTAAATTTGTCTGTCCGTGAATTTAAACTGCAGTGTTAAATAAATTCTTTTAAAATCCAGTTTTTAAAAGATGCAGCAATATTTTATACCTCACTTTCAGTAGTTGCAAATGTCCTTGTTCACTTAAAGAACCTTGATTTTCTGGAAATTATTATATTAATGTTAGTGTACAGATTATCTACCTTATGGAAAATATAGATTTACTTACTCCGTTAAATAAAAGGAGTTACCTCAGATCTCTACAAGAAACCCCAAGCAGTCAATATGAATAATGCAGATGAGCAAATAAAACTTCCTCTGATTTTGGAGGGAGGAAGTTCTTTGAAAGCTCATTATGTTCAGTGTATGTAATTTCCAAAATCCAGATTGAGATGGTTTCTGGACAGGAACTCTGTGAATTTGTATGTCATAGTTTATATTCAGAAAACTGTGCAATTTTAATTACAATAAGCATTGAATCAAATTTATCAAATATCTTCAGATGGAAAAGAAAATAATGCTGGAGGATAGATTCACAGCACTGAAGCTGGTGCTAGATCACCAGCTGGAGGTAAAATACCCTAGTTCAACCTCTGCAATGACCAAAGGAGTTTGAGCCCACCCTTGTCTACCTTGGAGAGCCAAAATGCAATGTGAATTCAATATCACCTGCCTGCCTCTCCCCTTACTGATTAACCTGATATAATAAAAGATTCACTTGAGCTGAAACTGTAACAGAAGTGTAACGCTCAGATGATAAGCCAAAACTTCAGTATGGCTGTTTTCATTCTTTTTCACATTCTTTGAACAGTGTGAACATTGTTTCAAAAATGAAATACCTTTACCAAATATACCCTATACTTTGTTGGCTTATTACTTCTCTATGAGGAAGGAAGCTCAGCTTCAAATCTCTGTCTTCTGTAGCAGAACAGACTTGAACATACATACTCCTCTTTCCAAGTGATTATAACTATTAGTAGCATATATTGTATTCTGGATTTCCATTTCCTACCTTTTCATTAAATCCCCTTTGACAGAAAATGGTACATTCAAATTTTTACTTGAATTTAGATTTAATATATGAAGCACTTGGAATTGTATCTTATTTCCATGCATAAGATATAAATAGTTCTGGTGGTAACTGTAAAGAACTAAAATCAGTGTGGTGGTAGATCACATTTCCTTGGAAAAAAAAACAAACAACAAAAAAACCCACTAAACATTGCCCTCTTAAAGAGAGAGGTTTTTCATCTTTCTGCAAATGTATAGCTGTAATTCAGGTAAGTTCTCCAGATCCATGCTGAGAAGCACACAGCCCTCTTCTCTAGTCAGTTCTGGAGTACTTGTGGCACACTCTCTCTCAAAGCTGAGAAACATTTTTTATTAACACAATTAAAAAGGAACGAGTTGGAGGCACAAGACAGGTATTTAAAAGAAAGCTATTTAGATAATTCGGAAGCTTTTAAAAATATCAGAACTGGGAGTTCTGCTGCTTTCAGGCCCATTCAGCAGGATTTGTGCTGTATTATGAAAACTGGGAATTTGTAAGAAGGAAAACAAATGTTAGCAGGGCGAAAATGATTAATACTACACATTTTAAAGATGTCTTTAAATATAAACACTGTTAGAAACTCATGACCATTTTTGACTTTTCTGTCATGCCTCTAGCATGATTTTCAAAAATAGGATAGCAACTTTACACAAGTGCCATAAGATGTTTATATTCCTCTTGGGTATTGATATTTGAAACCTTCATACAAGTAAACAAACAGTCCCATGAGAAGAGCTGTATGTCTGCTTCTGAGCAAGGGTGCAAAAGACACAAGAAACATAAGACAGCAGGATGTCGTACTCCAGTCTTGGGTCTCCTCTACAAGGGACATTGTTTGATTCTCCTTCATTCACTCAGCTGCCTATTAGAATAGTTTGACTGGTGCTGTGACAGAGAAGAACCACAGCATGTTCAAAATGGGGTATATGGAAGCTAACTTCCACAACTTGAATAAAGCCTTATCCTAAGGCTTTGGTGGAAGGAAATAGCTCAGAAGATAACGGTGGCAAAGGAAGTGGCTGCCACCCTACCATCCCATTTCAGGTCACATCGCTCTACACACATCTGTGAAGGGAAAATAGGAGGCAGAAACCACACATATTCTCTCAAACCCTAGAAAGGCTTCTCCCTTTCTTTGCAAAAGCCAGAGAGATGCTACTTGGGCTGTGCAGCAACTGGGTATGCAGAAATTGCCAGAACTGTAGGGGACAATACTGCTGGAAGAAAAAAACCTGTTCCTAATAAATTCACACCTGTAAGTTCTTAGTCAGATTCACATTCACTATTCATATGTGTGAAAAATTTCATTTTAAAAGGTTAGGCCATCAATTTAATCATTTTACCTTTCTGTCTCTTGGACAGACTCAGCAGTAATCTCTTTGTACTGTGGCACACTGTCATTCATATCCATGCAGACTTTTCCAACAAACGCTCGTTGACCAAATTTATCTGTTGAGATGCATTAAAATATAAATCTCAGAATCACTGGTTCTCAAAAACCACAATCAACCGTTATACTGAAATATGAAAGCAAAGTCCACCCCCCCAGCTTAATTTAAGATTAACAGAATTCATCCTCTTGTCTTATCTCTAAGTTGGGACTATTCATGTGACTTTTAAGGATAAAAAGGAAAAAGGAAGAAAGCAAACAAACTATATTTAAATAGGAGTTCTCTTCTTGCACATTAGTACCCAACTTTATACTTGTTATTATTGAGAACTAGATTACTGTAGTTTAACCACAACCAGAATTCATAATGGTACTATATGAAGAATGGCTGTGAAATAGAGGATGAGAAACACAAGCACCAAAGCACAGTAGCTGTAGTAGATGACTACCCTGAGATGAGAAAAAGCACAAAGATCTCAGCAAACCATCTCTCCTTAAAAGAAAGGAATGAGGTGGTTAACATGCCTCCCACACACAGTTAGAGGGAGAAAATTTTCAGAGCTATTCTAGCATCTTTCTTAAGATTTATCCATGATAGATGAATAAATCAGAATTCATGTGCAAGACATGCATATAATATTCAATTCTAAGCTGTCAAATGTGTTTCTAAATTAGATTTCTTTGTCCACTTTTACTGTTTGAGTTGCTGAATGCAATGGCTTCAAAATTTTCCTACCAAATCAGAAAGACTAGGTAATTTTTGAATAAAACTTATTACATTTACACTTCTTATTACATTTTTCTGCTTTGGGAGCTGTCTGAGCCTTGAGAAATCCTGCAAGAACCACAACATTTTCAAACAGCAGACATTTGCAACTGTGAACAGAAGGGAAAGATCCTGATGCAGCTTTCACTTTTCTGATTTCAGAGGGTGTGTGAAGATTTTTGACATTGATTATCCGCTACAACTTGGGAGTATTAGGACATTAACGTGCCAACATTTAGCCTTTTAAACTTCAAATAACAAAAGGTTAGAAAGAATAGAGAGCTGCAGCTGGAGAACAACTCCAGCAGACCTAATTCAAGCTCAGCCAGCAGCTGATTTGGGAGTGAGGAGACAAGCAGAAACAACACCAGGACAGAGGCAGTGAAGTGATTAAGTGTAACCGAAGTGGGTTTTGGGGACAGAGGTACAACAAATCAAAAACAAATCAGTAGACAGTCAGACCCCTAGCAAGTCTGAAACTCCTAAACTCTGTTTCCTTCAACTAATATGATACATGCGGCATCCTTCAAAACTTACTGTTAGTCTTACCTATAATTTCAGCAAGAAGAAGAGAAGTATCTGTGTAAATTGTTGCAAAGTAGCAAGCTGTAGTCGTGCCATTCTTTAGAGTTCGTCTCTATAAAAAGAAATCAGTTTCAACTGTCTGAAAAAAAAAACAGTAAAGCTGCCAAAAAGCAGAACAGGCAGGCTCATTTCAAACTGTGAGAACATTTAGTTATTGCGAAATTCTGCAGTGAAGTGGGAAGGTAAAATATAGATTTTTAATTTCATAATAGCTCTTTTAAGTCTGAGTGTTAATAAATACAAAAATTCCTCACAGAATTTTTGCAATGACTAAGCCCATAGAAACCACTCTATATTTCCTCCCTCAAACAGGAAATACTCCAACTTATATTTAGAAATGCAAACAAGTAGTCATTTTTGTTATTTCCTGGTTTTGAAAAGCTCTCCAATTTTCACAATGAAGCACTGTTTATCTGGTCTTAACAAATCAAGGCTTTTGGGAAAAGCAGTGGTTTTCTTTTGGCCATCTGATGTGGCTGGAAAAACTAGTCAAGTTTTTCTGTATCAAAACCATTTGCTGTTGCCAAATACAAAGCAACAAACTTAAAAGTAAAAGTAAACTAAGCACAGCTGCTCAGACTGTAATCTAATTATTTATTTAATTATACCATTTGAAAGGAGATGGTGGTTGACACCTGTTCATATTACCTTTGGAGAACATAACGGCAAATGAAGTGCAATTTTAGTTACATTAATTCATTATGTAATTTATAGCTTCCACTGATCTTGGGACTGGTGACTATATTGACTACTCATCCAACATAAGGGTTTAAATTACATATTTGGATTCTTGCTACCAAGTAATTTAAGAATTTTCTTCTATTTGTTTTAGCGTGATTGAAGGTGGGACATCCAACACAATATTGAGAATGGCTAGGGCTAACTATCTGACAAACATGAAGCCAAGCTGTCTTTTCTTTACAATATTCAAATGAAAGTCTTTAAGGGTTCCCAAAATGAGTCTCAAAAATAACAATGTCATTACTGAGATAAACTACCTTTGTCGTTTTTAGCTTTTAAAATCCAGAATTCTCTACTTCTGGAATTCTAACAATGTTAAATGAAATCCAAAAACATTCTGTTTCCAAATCATCAGCACGAAGAATTGACTTTCCTAAAATTGAAGGGACCAGAGAAGGTGCCAGCTGAAGGCTGGCAAATTTCACCTAAATTATTTCTTTTGCTGAGTATAGAAAGTGTTTACTGGAAATAAGATTTTGGGTTGAAAAAATTCACTGTGTTTTCATTACAACTCCAAAACTACAATGACACATATGAAAAAATATCTGCTCCCTGTAGGTTTAGTCCTGTTTCTAACAGCTGAAAGTTATTGTCAGCCTCTATGAACACTGCAAAGTGACTGGTACTCTGTAGCTTTTGTGGGTGAAGGCATTTTCCTGACCTTGTCCTTTTCGATACACATGGGGAGAGCCTTACCACTGTGTTGAAGCTCCTACATCTAACTTGCATCTCTCACTCGCAGTTCCTTTCCAGACGATACTGTTAAACACCTTGCACAGTGAGTACTGAATGTGAACTGTAACAGCGTGTTGAGGCACACAGTTGGAAGATGAAATCACCTCTATGCTTTAAGCAGCTAAAGGCACGGTGTCTGTCACTAGAACTTATGACCAAGCTGCTCATACATGTTTTTATTATGGCAGATGGTAGAAAGTAATTTCTTCTTAAATTTATGTGGCAAGGACAGTATAACTAATCATTTCAGATTTGTTATATTATTATTTTGACAACATATGTTGTCATAGTAATAGACAAATGGAAAGCAAATTATGCTGGCCAATTAATTTAATATATTGAAGATATTTCAGTCTACATATTACAGGATAAATTTCAGTTGTAGGACAAAACTATTACTTTGCAATGTGACCTGGCTGCTTATTGTCCAGTGGACCTTAAAGCCTTCATAGTGTTCAGCACTCATCTAGCTCTAACAAAGTCTTTGTGCCACAATACCATTGACTGACTCCATCTAAAGCCTCTGCAGTGAAATGCCCCTGCATTCCTGCTGCAAGGACCTCAGCAGTAGATATGCCTTCCTTAACTACTCTAAGACACCTCAGATTTGTTGCTTTTTCTCTTTGGTGTAGTCTTTGCACAAGATAATTTCATAATAAAGGATTTTTATGCAGAAAAGTAAATATCCCTTGAATTATTTTTTTTTTACCAAGCTTGGTTATTTCTGCATTGAAGTTGTCTGCACCTTCTGGCTATACTAACTCTGAGAGTAGTCATAAGTGTTGGTCATTGTACTGAGAAAGGATGATAAACAGGTTCATCATTAGCCTTGTGATTAAATGAACTTTCTTGTCAACAGAACAATACCGGAGCTAGTAAGGGACAATCTCAGTTGGCAATTAGAACAGGGGCCATCTGTTGGTTTTATCTGGTTTCCACGACATTAAACATGCTCTACTCTTTCTGCTGACCTTCTGAAAACATATCTACATTTCACAAATATGAATGTCGTCAAGTAGGTAAATGTTGTTTGCAGGACTTACAACAACTCTGGTGTATACTTCTTCTGCAAAACCACTGTCTTGGTATTTGGCTTCTGTTGGAAACGTGTAGGTAGTCAACCACTGCAAAAGAGGCAGGTCTACTCTTGTACCAGTAAATAAATACTGAGGGGCATGAATGTGTGTATCAACCAATCCTGGCATGAAGAATTCACTAGGGAAAGAAAATAAAGTTATAATAGTCCAAAATGTCTCAAAATGTTCCATGGTAAGTAGCTTTGTTTTAAACAGTATGTTTGAGCCTCTGACCTCCTGACCATTATATTTACAAAAATATCCCAGTTTTACTCTCTCTCTCTCTCTCTCCCTCTCTCCCCCCTCTCTCTCCTCTCTCTCTATCTCTCTCTCTCTCTCTATACACATAAAACTAATGAATTTTCAGGTTTAATGGAAGAACAGCCATTGTGTCTACAAATGCAGACACAGACATTAGTTAAAAAATCTCTCCTTGGTATCTTGACAGGAAAGGCATATTTATAATGGAACTGTAAAACTATTTGTTGTCATTTAATGTTCAGGGATGAATATATTCATACAGGGATGAATATATCAACATTACTAGGAAGTTGCTATAATTGTTTTGGTTTGGGCTGAAACTCCATATTGTAAATTTCTCTCACGTCTCTCCCCTTCTCCCTAACTATTGAATGAACAGTGGTTTCATCTCTTTGTAGTTCCCCTTCTTTCTGTTTTTCCTCTATGCTATAAATACTGAAAGATCTTTCTCAATCTGATCCATATTCTCAGCACCTTCCACTTTCCTCAGGCTATTTCAAGTTAAGAAAACATCTGATGACTCACATATACTATATGATTAGCCTTTCAACAAAGCATACAGATTTTTTAACAACTGATTACTAAAAGGATGCTGCAGCTAAGACACAAGACGTTTACAGTGCTGCTGCATACAAAGCATAGTAAGTGCACTCGAAACTATTTCACTTCACCAGAAAGCTAGGGGACTTCACTGGCTGAAGTGCTCTAGGTGCAGTACAGTGAGAAATCCAAGGCTCTGTGTTTAGAAGGTTTACATCTTCTAATCGTATTAACTTTTATTATGGAGTGTGACAAAGTCCAAGGCAATGAGTTTTATATCTGCAATGTCAGTGTTACCTACATTTACTAAGTCTAGAGTTCCACTTTAGTTAGGCACAGCTCACTGCTAACAAAATGGATATAAAATGTAATCTCAAGAAAGAACAGCATTTACTTCTGTGACTACAGAAGTGGTTATGTGTGAAAATTAAATATGGCATTTGGTTCTGTGCAGTGTACATCAGCCAGCAAAAGTCAGCCATGTCTGCAGTCCCAAACTGAGGAATGCAAAAAGCACACAGACTGTCTACCCTCCGAGTCCCATCCAGGACACAGGCAGCTTTGAGTAAAGAGCCCTCATGGAGCTGAAATGGAGTTTTGCCCATTGAACTGGATTTTATGTGTTTCCTGTGAAATTGTATTCACAGAGACTCACTCTACTTCATTCAAAGAATAAACTGCATTTGCCGAAATTAATCTAAACAAAACACATACTGTTTACTTAGTTGTCTTATGTCAGATGTTTTGAAACCCCACTTCTCAGCCAGTTGCTCTTGCTGATCACTTTGTTCCAAAAACACAATCTGAAAGAAAGAAAACATAGTTAGGTACTTTAAGCCTGTACCCCACATCAGCTTTATGCAAAGGCAAAACAAGTTATATATTAAAGCAGATTTTACGCACTTACTACAAAGGTGACAGGTTTGCATTGAAATACTTGTTCTTCCTGACTATCAAGCATGATTTTGAAATACCTTTTCACAATCCAGTGAATAACCGCACCCACCTTGTAACTTGGAATAAAACAATTAATTCACTTTCAGGTAATACCCAGGCAGACCTGCAGAGACTTCAGTGTCCACCAGCATTCCTGCAATGTAACATCATGCCAGCAGTAGTCACTTGCTGTGGAGGTGTGCAACAGCCTTATGGGAATGCAATTATAGTATTCACAACCAAAGGGGGCAAATAATTTGCTTTGCCTAGCAGTAATTGACATCAAGGTAAGTATTTTCTAATTTTCTGTTTGTGTCATTAATGTTGGGGTTCTTTTTATTTCTTCAGTGCCTAGGATGACAAAAGAAATTGAGGGGAAAAATACAGATAGCATTTTCATTTTACAGAATGGGCTAAAAGGAGGCTAAGATCTTTATTTATTTCAAAACAAAACCCTACAATCTGGAGCCAAACTAAACCCCATTTGACTCCTGGAGAACACTGACTGTACTGATGATGAATCGCTGTTGCCAAGTCATAATTTTAGAACATTTTCTATTTCTTTTTAAATTCCATGGTATTTTAATCTACAACATTACTCTTGGCAACTGAATTCTCAACTCTTTGATTTTCTAGTCTATCAATAATAGGCATGACAACTCTTCAAGAAACAAAGGTTGTGGAGCCTAGGCACTCCAATGCCCACTACAGGCTCCACGTGGGATCCAGGTTTCCTCAACACTCAACAGAGTAGAGGACCCTGATGCCTCCCTTGGCCAAAGATTGCCTAACCTGGGCTTTTAAGAATTCTTGCTATCGTGGTTTGACCCTGGCCAGATGCCAGGGGCCTAGTAAAACCACTCCACTACCCTCTCTCCTCCCCTCTGCATCAGTGCAGAGGAGAGAGGAAGAAAAAGAAACAGCAAGGGAATTTCATGAGTAGAGATAAGGATTGAGAGAAGGCAGTGTAACAAGCAAAACAAACTCAGAGTGAGGATAAAACTTAAATTTATTACTAACAGAATAAGAGCTAAAGAGTGAGAAATAAAACAGTCTTAAACACACTTTCCAACCACCCCTTCCATCTCTCCATCCATCCCCCTGCATCAGTGCAGAAAGAGAAGTCTACCCATAGGGCAACAGGTCTTCCAAGTCTGCGGCACCTGTGGGTCACCCTTCCATGGGCTGCAGGGAGCAGCCTGGCTCCACCATGGTCTTCATCACGGACTACAGGGGGGCTAAAGCTCCAAGTCCTTCCCCTGTCACGTGGGGTCCCTCTCACGGGAGACAGTCCTTGATGAACCTCTCCAGCGTGAGTCCATCCACCCCTCGGGCAACAGTTCTTTTTGATCTGTTGCCCCGTGGACAACTTCCCCAAGCGGGTGCAGTTGAGTTGTACCGATGCAGATCTCCCACGGGGGCCACAAGTCCTACCCAGAAAAAACTGCTCCGCCGTGGGCTTCCCCCTCTGCGAGCCACAGGTCTCCAAGCAGGACTTTGCTCCATTTTGGGCCTCCCACAGGGGGTCACAGCCTCCTTCATGTATCTTCCTGCTCCAGCATGGACTCCTCCATAGGCTGCAGGAGGGTTTCTGCACTCCAGTGGTTCTTTATGGGCTGTAGGGGCTTCAGCTCTAAGTCTTTGCCCTGCTTCTGGGGGTGGGAGGGGGGAAGGTCCCACCTCCTTCTCCCCCTCCCTCCAGCTGCACTGGCCTTGGTGACTGCTTGGTCTCCCGGACTGGAATTTCTTCTGCACAACAACCTTCTCTTCTCCTGTTCTTAAATATGTTATCACAGAAGCGCATCTCATTGGCTCAGCCTTGGCCAGCAGCAGGAAATCCCTCCTGGAACTGACTACCATTGGCTTTTCATAGGGCAGTAAAAGCTTCTAGTAGCTTCTAACAGAAGCCACCCTATAGCCCCTCCCTGCTACTAAAACCCAGCTATAGGTTAAACCCATGACACTTGCCTAACCACGGCTTCTGCCAGAAACCAATTCATGGTCTTCTAACTCCCTTGGTATAAGAGCTCATTTCTCTAAGTTCAAGGGAATAATCTTACTGCTACCAGTATCCTTCTGCTCCTGGGAAGGTGTCCATGCTGAGGGCCTATATCACCATTATAACAGGAGTTTCTAAGGCAGCAGTTAAAAAAATCCCCAAAGAAACACCAAACAAAAAACAACAAGTAGTTTGGCAAGTACTTTGGCAAGACCAAGTAGTTGTAAAAAAGGCAATAGGAAGGAATTTAGGAGGAAGGGCAAGAGAAGCAAAAAAGCATTGTTTAGCCGTTATTTGCATGCCATTTTTTGTATGTGTGACCTCTTGCATAGAAATTTACCATTTTCTAATTTTTCCATAGATGAAAATAAGCAAAGGCGGATAAACAAGAAGTTTTTAGCTGACTAGTGTTTTAACATATGGCTTATATAATTTATATGGTCTAAAGAACAGATGTTTTACATTTTAGTCAGAAAAAAATATTAAAAATCACACCTTATAAATAAATACCACACTAGCAAAAATTGCAAGATTATAGTATTCCATTAATAATTCACTTGAAACTGTATCTCTCTCCTTCCAAAGAGGAATACAGCCAACTTAATGAACTGTATAGCTGTAGAATGCTTGTAATAAAGACCTACTGAAATTTCTAATGGGCAAAAAAGAAAATGTCATTCAGATACTGAAATCAAAATGGATGCAGAATGAGTAATGTTAGATCTGCTGGGGGAAGAAGGGGAAAGAAGGAGAAAAAAAAAGAGAGAGAGAAACATGAAACACCAGATGACAAATTCTGGAAACAGGCGTTGCCATGGAAAAGCATTGGCTGTTATGTACTCTTAGGGTGCAGATAAATAAAATACTTACATCATGAAAAAAATGAAGAAAATGTAGTCACAAGAAATCAATTCTAAACCTGACAACTGGTCCATTATGGTCAAATGAGACTATGGGTAAATCAGCAAGACATCTATACTCTCTTCAAACAAACTTGTCAATGGAACTCCTTACTCAAGATGTTCCCCATTGCTTTGGGATGCATTTGCTCTGGACACCTTTCTAAAACTGAATGCTTTCAGGTCTTTGAGGTCCTACACTTGGACATTTGCTCCAGTATTTGCTTGTGCATTCAAAGTAACCAACCTGGTGGACAGTTCTTTAAATTAGTTCTGGACCTTAACACTGTAGAAGCAAGAAAAAATTCTACAGCAGTGTCAATACAGAGCCAAGAAGTGCACAGGCATTTCAGCTTGTCAAGAAGGAAGTCAAGGAGAATAATTGGCACTTTGGGAAAGTTATATTCACAAAAAACAGGATCAACAGCTGCAAAAACGACTGCTCAAACACTTCCATAAGTTCTCATATGTCAACCATGTGATGTGGCTAAAGGATCCAAAGTTGAGGAGCTGAGACCTCCCTAACTCAGGCCTTTTTTATTCCAAGTGATGCCCAAAGCTCCTCCATCAAAGCATAGGTGGTCAACTAAACTGTGCATCAAAGCTGATGCAGAAAACCTTGAGTGCCTCCAAGTACTACAGTGCAAATAACTTTGCTAACGAGAGAATGGAAAGTGAATGATACTGGCTGAAGGAATACAGTTTTTTTGGATCCAACAGTGCCTGTGTTTCTTTATTTTTGGCTATGACATTCAGAGATGAACATGGGAAGGGGTCCATCCCTTTTTTCCCCACCCACATGCTCTCTTCCCTCCCTGCTTCCACAGTCATTAAATGACTTTTGCATTAGAGACATGAGGCCTATTGCTTGCCTAGTTCCCAAAACTGGAATTTGAGGCTTAATGAGAGACAAGAACACTTATTAGACTCAGTTGCTAAGGGAACCACAAAACCTGCTGAGAAATTTTGAGCAATGAACTCCATATGGATGTTGGTACCTTGGTACCTTCCTCCTTGTACAGCTAACACACATTGTCTTGCTGTACCAATTGCTTAAAAAAACACTTAAAAATATTAACTCTTATTCCACAACTAGCAAGAGTTTTCAAGACTTCAGCAGGAGCTTTTAGCTTAATACTTTTTCTGTTTACTTAATATTCTACTCAGCTAAGTTAATTACTCCAACGTTTCAATGATAACTCACATTTTGCACCTGTGTCTGTTTTCTTTAGCCTAAGGAAGGCTGCTCTTTCTACTTGCTATTCCTCAAGAATTACACTACACTACCCCTGGTGGCCTAGTGGTTAGCATGCAGGACTCTCACTGCTGCGACCACGGGTTCGAATCTCAAGTCCCCCGGGCAGATGGTAGCTCGTTAGCCCTGTGAGGCCATCCATCTATGAGAAGGTCACTCTAAACAAACCTACGTCCTGAGGACCTCACTGCCATTGTCCAAGCTTGCTTGGCCCCGGCAGATGAACCTTAGGATTAAAGGGTGGGCTCAGTTCAGCGCAGGCTGTGTCTCACCTAAAAAATCCATTGCGCAGGCTGGAAAGGTAAAAGACCTTTCCCCAAATCTTCGCTCGCGAAGACTGGCCATTATTACACTACACTGCTCTGCAAATCACTCAGTTAAACATGGTCCCTACTTTGCTAACTTGAAGATAGTTTGGGTTTTCATACCTGACAGCAGTGTTTTCCTTGCTAAACCTTCCTTTTCATCTAGAGGCAAAGCAGAGAGAGCTGACATTTTGTGTCCCTTGAAGGACAGGCAGGGTCTCACACTGCAGTACAGGACCCAGCGGTTCACAAAAGCTGATCTGTTCACAGCGTCAGAGACCATGCAAGATTTTTCTACGATGGAGCAACATGAGGCAAAAGAACAATACCTATTTAGTTAAATTTACTTCTTTGGGAGTAATACTGAAGCAGGTTTGGTGTAAATTTCAATAATAAAGATAAGTAATTTTCTAACCACTATGTCCTTCTTGAAAAGCCAACTCTTCTGTGATTCCAGTGGTTATTCTGAAAGAGATTACATTTCATGTAATAGAGAGGGAAGAGAGCATATGGGAGGGATGCCAAAACTCACTGAAATAGTAAAATCCCAAGAACTTTTTAAAAAAAGAGAATAAAATAAAAGCGATCATTACCATACTCGGGTGGGTATTTCATTTTTGGGCAACACTGTTTTAATGGAAAATATTTGAAAGAAAAAAAAACACTTTCTGCCAGTTTATGCAAGGAAAACAGTATAGTGTGAATCCTTGTTCCCTAGGAGAAGAGAGTGAGATCCCTACGTATAGCTTTCTAAGGTATCTGTTTTTCAAGAAAATCACTTAAAAGTCTTGATTTCCTATGGATGCTGTGTAGAGACACTTTAATGGAAATTGCCATTAGAGAGAGTGGGATGGGGTATGACTTTCTGTCTTCTGCACCTGAGTTATACCAACTAAATCCTTTTTTCATTCAACTCTATTGTTTTTAGTGGACACCAGCCAATATATAATTACACAATTCCCCTCCTGTACATCAAAACACAGCTTCTCATAGACTTTGATACACCTTGCACTAGGCATCTATAAAAGATGATCCTCAACATCTATAAAAGATGCCTGGAAACAGGCCCTCACAGATATGTGTGAATAGAGAAAATAAATACTGTTAGGTCTCAAAATGTGCTTTGCACAGATTTCAAATGTTACTGAAGCCTGACACAGTGAAGCCTGTTATTTAGCCACAAGAAAGAACTTTTTAAAATTTTACATAGGGTGCCCATATATGTTATGGAGTCTATAAGAAATCACTAGTCTACCTACACCACCTGCACTGTGAAACTGAGTTCCAAGTGTGATGCTGTTAAGGGAATGACACAGCTTCCCTGCCAGACTCGATCCTGCATTATCAGTAAGTGCAATGCTTTTTGAAGCTTGGCTTGTACCACTAACATACCCAACATCCCTAACTCTTTATGGGTACATACCATGGGATTTTTTGCCAAGAAAATAAAAAAGTTCACTCGGAAGGCTGTGCAGGGGGCACACTGCAATTACTCACGATCACTGTTTAGATACTTTGAGAATGAAAAACCTGCTTCTGAAACTGAAAGAAAACAGAGAATCTGAAAGAATGCCCAGTCGAGGCGCGCTGCTTTTCTGGGAATACTCAGCACACATCTAAAACTGGTTTCGGCTAACTGCAGACTCGTGCTGAGGGGACGCTCCATCTCGGTTACCTCCGGCTCCTGCAAGTGCGAAATCTCTTCTCCGCGGCGCTTTCCCCGACGGACATGAGTGCGAAAATTTTCCGCTTTCTCAACATAGCCCGGCGGAGCCAGCCCTGCCCCTCACCACCCCCGGACGCGGACTCGGGGCTGAAAGGGGTCATTTCCACCGCCCCTCGCGGACCCTCGGGGAGCGCAGGACTCTCAAGGACCAGCGCACCGACGGAGCGAAGCGGGGCAGCCCCGAAGGGTTCACCAGGCACCTCCCCGCGCCCCCCGCCGCCCGCACCGGACCGGCGGCACCCGCCCGAGCCCCCACTCACAGTCCCGTCATCGTCCACCCCCAGAAGGTGTCCGTGGAGGATCTCCATGGGTGCGGAGGCGCTGGAGTGCACGAAGGTCCCCTTAAAGACGTGGGCGAGCGGAGGGCGCTGCGGGGAGCCCATGGCGGCGGGCTGAGCGGGCGGCGCTGGGAGCTGCCACCAGCGGGCTGCCGCCCCTCGGTGTCTCCCGGTGCCGCCAGCGGCTTCCTGGAGCTGTCACCATTTCCCCACCCCCTGGTGACTTTCTCTTCGGGGAGTGGTTTCGACGAAGAGAGGGCGGGAGGCCGAGCCACCCCCTTCCCCGACGCCGCCGGACGGGAGGTGCCCGCGGGCGGTGCGAGGAGTGCCCTGAACCCCGAACCCTCCGCCTCCCCGCAGTTGATCCCCTCTCCGAGGGATGGGTCCTCCCCCGTGCAAGGGTCGCGCAAGCCCGGAGCAATGCCCGGCGGGTTTTGGGGTCCCAGTTACTCCCTGGGAAGCAGTGGGTAAGCCGACAAGGTGTGTGTTAATGCTTTACTAGTGTCTGGCAACTCACTTTTGCAAACAACATGAGGTTGTAACCACTTGCAAAAGTTTCATTTACAGTAGGTTGGGTTTGTAGGTTGGAAAAGACCTTTAAGATCTTCAAGTCTCAGGCTGATTCCTCGGTCCTCGGCCTCTGTACTGCACGTTTGTAGAGTATAGGAGTAGAAAACAGATGCCAGCTGAAGTACCAGAACTACCAGAAATAGGCAGCCTCATTCAGTGAAGATGATCTACAGAAAAAGAGAGCAACTTCAGGAAAATGAAAGACAGGGAAAAACTAATTTTTTTTAACTCAGAGAACTGTGTTCCCAGAACCATATTCCCTCCAGCAACCGAAGTCAAAGTATATCATGAACACATGCTAAGAGGATCACTATTGAAAATATTGGGATAAAACTTCAGAGACAGAATGATGTATACCAAGGACAACACCATGAATGTTCTCTGAATTTCTGTTTGAATACACTCTTATTCATCAACTTGTCAAGTTATGAATGAACTTGGCACCAAGGGCACTGACACTATTGCTCTCAAGGCTGCATTGCAAAGTTTGTCATTACATGGTTTATCATTAAAAGACCTTTGCACTTCCCACTATGCTGACACTATACAAATGCATAGCAGATTATCTTTTCAACAAGCTTTCCAGATTAATGCTGGTAGGAGAGAGAAACACAGTGGAAAATCACAGAATAAATTTAATTTTGATCAGCTATGGACAAGTCACCAGCCTTTAAGTTGCCTCCCTTGTATAAGAATACGTTAGGTTGCTGAGAATGAAGTAAAAAAAAATTGTATTTACTGATATCAATGGAATGTTCTTACCTGGATTTTGAGATCAGCTTAGTTGGGCAATAAAGGGTGTTCAGAATAAAATAAACATGTGACAGTGACTTTTACATACTTATATTGGCAATTCTTGTGATAGGTCTTGAAGTTTAAGAAGACTGTAAAAATAATATCCCAAGATAAAATTGAGTGTTTTAAGACACAAGGCAGTTTTTTGTTGTATTTCTATCTTCTTTGACATGAGAATCTAGCACGCAAAACAAATCACAAGTTGGTCTTGCAGGTTAATCTAGTTTGGAGAAGAAACAGGCATAAGAATCTTTCGTGCAGTTCAGTTTGCTAACAGTAATCTGGCTTCCTTGAAGAACAGAATAATAAATGTTTAAAAATAGAACCAAAACTCTTCTAAATTAGCACTTGCAAAATCTCTCTTCCAAAGTTGTTTCTCAGGGTGATGCTATTGTGTTTCTTAAGGCTGCAGCTGAAATGAGCTGTATTCCAAGCTGTTACTCCAGGTGAGGAAAATTGGTTTTTGCTGTAGGAAGGATAAAAAGTGAGAACGAGGCTATTTTTGCTATTGAATAATAAAGGTAGAGGAGGTGGAGATGAGAAGTAGGATGAAGGGACCAAGCCCTGCAGAGGTAAATTCACTTGGTCTTTCTGTGAAGAGAGGAGTGAAAACAGCTTTCTCCAGAAATAGCTGCAGCTCCGTACGGCTTGCCTTTGCCCTGTTGGCAGCAACTAGTTTGATTTTCCTCTCCAGTGTGCTGCCCTAGGACAGCTGTGTGCTTCACTTAACGCAAATCAGGCTACACACAGCTTTTGGTTCAGAATACCAAGCTCTTGTGCTGGCTGCCACCCAGACTCACGTACACTGCTGTCCAAAATAATATTCAGCAGAGCTCACAGTTCCCGAGAAACCTTTTGGTTGTGTTCAGTAGGGAAGTGGGCTGCTCCCGAGAATCTCACACTGCTTCAACTTTGGTTTTCCATTGAAAGCCTCAGAGATTTCCTCCAGCTTCCTTACAAAAAGAATGATAGTCCAGGGATTTCAGTGAGATATAATCCAGAGAGTATTCATTCAAGAGAAGAAAATAAAAAAACATTTACAGTTTCTTCCTTCAGCACTTTTGGTCGAGAAATGTCAATAACAAATATTGTTAATGATAATTTGTTTCTGTTAGTGGGTTCCAAACACTCTGAAGTTGTATAATTTCAGTGTCAAAAGAACTAGAGGTCTCTTCTGCTTTTTCCAGCTGTCACATGGGAGAGCATGGGAGCCGTGGAAGAGTGGTAACACCCTTCTCTCCTCCCAGAATTTTTTTGGTTTTTAGTTTGCAACAGTTACACATGCGTGGCCTAGATACTTGCATGACTCAAGGTGAGACCTTGGCCAAGTATGAAAAACTGAGTCATTCTTCCAAAATATTGTAAGAACCTTACACTGATGCATGTTTAGTTTTGCTGGGATATGCTGGGCCAAGCACTTTACCTTTTGGGATAGAAATGTAATGCTCAGTTGTGACTGTTACATAGTAATTAAGTTAATGAATGAGTGAAATACCATGCTTTTTCTTTTTTTTTTTCTTGTTTTTTTTAATTGGTTAAGAGTCTGAAGAGAGAGATTTACCTTTTTTAAAATTATGCTTTTTTTGATAGCATTCAAAATAAATCTTAACTTTTGAAACTCTTTGAAATTATCATGTATGTGTTAAGACATTTAATAATTAATAATGTGTACTTTGTTCTAATGCTGTTTTAAAAAAAATCTGTCTCACTATTCACTAGCTTATCAGACTCTCTGTGTCTTCTAAATTATTGACTTCTGAGCAATTATAGAAATGACTCCTTAGTTGAGTCCTGAAGCCAAACATATTTCAGATCAGAAGAATAATCAGTCAATGTACTTCCAGGAGGACAGGGAAGATTTTAACAGGATTAGAGTGCCTTCATTCTCCTTAACACTTTCAGTTTCTGGTCTTTTTTTTTCATTTGTCACACTAAACAAATTAATAATTCAATTACTTGTTTCAAAGTTTCAGGGCACCCAAGCTGATCCTCCAACATCTGAGAAATAAAACGAAAAAGAAACCTGCTTCTCTCCGCTGCTTTCAAAAAGTAGTTGATGGGGTATTTGCCACCAGCCAAAAACACCTGTTGTCAAGAGTCTGTTGAGGCCAATGCCTGTGGAGCCTGAGCACCAGATCACAAAAATTATTATTCTGATCTAGCAATGAATGTTATTATAGCATTTATTATGAAAAATGTACCTTGTCTATAATTTGTAACATAGCAACTAGGTAAATGGATTGAAAAAATACAGTTGACTTAAATGCTATTAAGTGATTTTTTTTTCTGTATAAGAAAGAGCTGATTATGTGGCTAATACTTGGGATTACTCAGAAAAAAAAAAATTAAGCATGATTTAAATATCTCTTCTCAAGTCTGAAATTAAGTTGAGAGTTAGATGTTAATCCAGCACAGGCTACTTCAGACACCTCATTTTCCCACAAACATTTATATAATCAGAATCTGTTTATATTACTTAATTTTTCCAACTCCATCTAAAACTGAAAATTACCTCACCCAAAAAGAATAAGAAGCAATGACCACACACACAACTCCATGTCATTTACCACCATGGGTATTCACTCAGCAGGTCCCAGATAGAGCTTTCAGCCTTTAAAATCCAAGTCTACAAAGGCTTGAGAAGCCCAGCCTCAAACACTGCAAGGAGAAGCTGGAGTTACCTTCTGATGCTTCCACCTCCAAAAGGGGCCATAGTACTGTCATAAAATATCCCATAATTAGAATTTAGAGATGGTATGTCCTACTTATTCACTGACACATAATTAACTGAAACACAGATTGGCCAATGTTAGTTCTAACAATTCTGAAGTTTTTCTCTTTTACTGTCAAGGCTTGTTCATAACAGGAATTGTAGTAACTAATCCAGTAAAGTTCTTTAGAAGAGCCAGGAAATACACAAATATCAGTAAAAGTCATCTCTCACTAGAAGCACTAGCATGAATGGGTGAAATATGTCAAAAGATTTTGATGGCAATCTTCTTTCTGTTTTCCATAAGACACACAGGATCAATCAACACATTTGCTAGACTTAACCTCTGATCATGTTAAAAGAAACCAGAATGGAATTTGGGTGTCTGCTGCTGTTAATAGGGGTTTATGGAAAACAAACCGGACATGACTTCCTGTTCCCTGAGATCTTTCAGTGATAAAACTTTATCTGTGGAATTACATTGCACGGTGAATGCAACACATTTAATATAATGGGATCAGCCGATCTCTGGTCATGGCAACATTATAAACCACTCTGCGTAACTCTCTTGCTAGTCTCATTTTCATGCTTAAAACCAATAAAAAATAATATTCTTCATATACTCTTAAATGTCTAGAGATTTACCTAACTTTGCATTGCTAACAGAACATAAAACACTTCAGACATGTTGTGCTGGTTTAAAAGTTAACCAGCAGGGGAAATGAACTCAACTCAAAAGAGAGATTATAAGTCAGAATAACAATTTATTAAAATAATACAATAAGTACAATTATACAGACAGACAGTTGGTTTTAACCCACAAAGCCCAAATGTATAACCCAGCACCCTGGGGCATGAACAAAGTGGTGTTCCTTGGCCCCCCCTCGAGTCCAAAGTAAAGGGAGAGGGGAAAAACCTGCTGGTGGGAGAGCTGCTGCAGTCTGGTCAGAAAGTGGTGATTGCAGTCCAGTTGAGGGTGGTGGTCTCAGTCTGGTTGAGAGTGGTGAGCTGCAGTCTTCCTCTGGATCCCACGAGTGGTAAAAAGGTTCCAACCCCCCAAGTTTATATATTCTCCAGTTCAGGCAGAAATG